CCGCGCCCCTCTCTCTCTCTCTCTCTCTCTCTCTCTCTCTCTCTCTCTCTCTCTCTCTTTTGTACCGGGGATCGAACTCGGGTCCTTGTGTTTATGAGGCAGGCAGTGGAACCACTGAGCCAAATCCACGGCCCCAGAGCACATCTCTTATCTGATCTTGTAAGCAGATGTGAGTCAGGGAGCTATTTCACCAGCTATAGTTTGGGTTGGGTGAGAGGGAAATACGTCGTTCTACAGAGCAACAGAGGAGAATCCACATACACCCTGTGATCGCCTCAAAATAAACGAAGCCTTTACTTCAGGGACAGATTGAGAACATCCGTCCGGGGGCTGTTCTCCTCAAAAGACATCTCCTGTCAGTGCTAGGACTGCTTTTATAGCCTCTGGGCATGGACTCAGGAAGCTCTAGTATTGATCTGAACTCCATCCATATATTGTGAGTATATTGACTTTTAAAAATATATTGATGTTAATAGTTCACACCAATCTATTTGGGGTTATTGCTTTATCAATAGATAAAAGCCCATAAAAATGAGCTATTTGAGCACATGAAGTTTCTTATTACATCCAACTTTCCTTTTCATAAAGGCAATATTCTAAACTATCTAGTGATGTCATAAGGATTATTAGCGCTCCCTCACAAGCACTGTCTCAGCTTCTGTCTGTCTGTCTGTCTGTCTGTCTGTCTGTCTCTCTCTCTCTCTCTCTCTCTGTCTCTGTCTTTTTTGTACTCAGGATCAAACTCGAGTTCCAAGGCAGGCAGCGGAAACACTGAACTAAATCACCAGCCTTCTCTCTTTCCCTCTCTTCTATTTCTCTTCCTTTAGCATTCTCTACCTAGAAGACTGAATACTAGCTGGGTTCTCTCCACATGGTTTTCTTTGTGACATCTCTCCTTCCTGGCTTCCCTCTGATGTCCCCAACCATCTTCTCTTCTCCTCAGGTGGCCACATCAACCCAGCTGTGTCCTTTGCGATGTGTCTCTTTGGGAGGATGGAATGGTCCAAACTGCCGTTCTATGTGGGAGCCCAGTTTTTGGGAGCCTTTGCAGGGTCCGCGGTCCTCTTTGGCATTTACTATGGTGAGTAAGGACCCTGCATCCAAAGGTCTTAGAGAGCTAGGTGTCATTTGAAAGTCAGAATTATTTGGCAGGAAGAGGTGAGATACAGCAAGAACAGGAAATGTTCTATAATTGATGAGAGGAAATTCTAAATCTAAGATAATGAGGCCAACGTTATCATTAGGGAAAATTTATGAAGCCTGTTAATGAAAATGATGACACTGGGAGTGGAGGCAGGACATACGGAAGGGGCCGACCTTTAGGCCCAAGAGCACTAGTGTGAACACACAAAGGAAGCAGTAGGCCCCAGTCTCCTCTGATTCTTCTCAGTTGGCTGAGAAAAAGATACTGCTGGAAGCCAAGTCTGTGACCTGGAAGTATTTCGAGAAGGATTATGGGAAATGTTTTTGGAGGAGGAAACACAGCACAGAAATGGGCTGGGTGGGAGCCTCGACCCTCTTCTACCAAGCAGCCAGTACTTCCACTCCGTAACTGTCTTCTGGGAAAACACAGAACTGGCAACCACAGGCCCAGCCTTTACCTCTGTCTGGATCAGTCTATAGCTGAGTGACTTAAACATCACTTACCTAACTTTCCTCAGAGAATTAAGGTATTGAGCTAGATGACCCTGAAAGCCTTCACACTAGGAGAACTTGGAGTTCACTAAATCATGTGTTAAAGCAGTCCCTTCTATCAAACCCAAGGTGAGCACGATACATTGTGACTGGCAAATCAAAGACCTCAGGAGCTAGAGTTGATGAACCAAGCCTCAGGAAAACGGGTTGTAGAAAAGGGACATCTGCCTCATCGTGTGTCCTAGAGGACTGATGAGGAATTGAAAACCAGACCAGAAATTCAGAGCCAGCTACCATCGCCAGAGAGGCCTGGGGTTGGTACTGGCTGTGTGGGCTGCCATTTTCCTTGTCTAAGGGCTCCAAAGACCATTCCACAGATCTTCACTGTACTGTGACACCTTCAAGTTTAGGGGTGTGTTGTTGAGAGCTATTAAGAGCCCTGTAAGAACTATGAACTCTCCCTGGAATAAGTTCAAGCCTCATGTTGGCCTTAGGTTAGTTTTCAAAATTCCAAGAACTCTGCTCAGAGAAGATTGGACCCACTAACTCAGGATTTGATACACATTTGGAGTGGATCATGAGGATGACCTAGGGCTTTTTTCCCTTGACACACCATCCTGGGATTCCCTGGTCCTCTCTAAGACCTTCGTGCTATGATGTCACAAGAGAGAGACCAATGATATGGATATGCCAGCTCAACCTGAGTGACTGCTGTTGTTTGGCACCAGGCCTGGCACAGACTTCCCCCAACCCTGCCAGGGAGCACTAACATGACAGAGCTCTATCCTCCACAGATGCACTTATGTCCTTTGCTGGTGGAAAATTGCTCACCGTGGGAGAAAATGCAACAGCGCACATTTTTGCAACATACCCAGCTCCTTATCTGTCTCTGGCGAGTGCATTTGCAGATCAAGTAAGTGTAGAGCCAACAAAGACCTAACTTTAGTGAGAAGACATGATGAAAGACAGGAATGTATTAAAGAATTGAAGGCCTATCAGAAAGGAAGGGTTGTGATTCCAAAGTCAGAAATCACTGGATATTACCCACGCTTTCTTGCCCATCTTTTGCCCTTGCAGAAGTTAATGCCACAAGAAGGGTTTTCTGTTTCCTCTTTAATACATACATCTGTTTCACATTGTCTGAGGTCCATAAAAGGGAGGATGACTGGTTTAGGGTCTTACCCTACTCTATCCTGAGAGTCTTAGACTCATTTTCAAATATCCATTCTCAGGGGCAGGCTGCTGAAGGAGAGGAAGAAAAAATGTAGTGAGATCACACAAAAGATGAATGGAGAACACTGACATTTGGTCTAGATAAGGTGTATGTGGGTTTGAGTGGAAAGGGGTGAGTGTGGTAAAACATGATAGCTGCTTTCAAAGATCTGAGGTGATGTGGCAGAAGCACAATGCCTAGTACATAAGAGGTGCTCCAAAATAATCTTTTGTGTTTTTATGGCACTAGGCATTGAATCCAGGTCCTCACATATGCTAAGTGCTCTACTAGTGAGCTTCAAAAAAATGTGTATCCATGAAATGGATGAGTCCATAACTCAATGAAATTATTATTAGTGTTATTTGGTACCGGGGATCAAACTCGGGATCTTGCGCTCGCGAGCAAGGCAGCAGAACCACTTAGCTATACCCCCAGCCTGAATGAAATGATGATGAAACAAAGTTACATTCTGTGAAAGGAAGACTATTCTACAAAACCGGCACGGGCTAAATACAGACCATGTTTTCTCAGGACAGTAATCACTAGAGGTGTTGGAGGCAAGTCTGGGCTCATAGCTGGCTAGAAACAAAAGTTTCTAGAGAAAACTGCAGCCATCTAAAGTAAGAGGTCAGAAGTGTAATGGCTTTCTAAACTTAGGACAGCAACACCGGAAATGTGAGTAATAGAGAAGAATGTTAGTGGGGAGAACTCACCCAAGGCAAAATGGGTTACCTCTCTGGCATCAGTGCCTATTAAGAGAGGGAGGTGGATAAGACTACTCCTTCTAGCTTCTGAGTTCCAGCAGTCTGCTCTACAGCAGGTCTGGAAGGACCAGGACACAGGGACTGTGCAGCCCTCAGTGACTATCAAGACCTAGTACGATAAACTATTCATCTGTCGAGCTGGGAAGGAAGCAGGGATGCCTTGAAGTGGCTTTCAGAGATGGCTTTCTTGATGACCCTATTCAGCTCAGACCAAATTTCTCTTATAAAGAAGAGAGTGGCGTAAAGAGCCGTCGAAGGACCTTTGGAGATTTCTCATGTGAATTTAGGTCATTTCCACTGGAGGCAAGAGAGAAAGGATGCTGGCCTTGTCAAACACTGACTTGCACCACAAAGGACTTGGTCTTTATTCTCTGTCTTGGGACTGACGGCCATTTCCTTGTATTCCCAGGCCACTCAGAATTTTTTCTCCAGGGCAGTCCCCACTAAGCCCTGGAGGCATCCTCCTCCATTCCACAGACCTGTCCCTTCCCCTGCGAAAGTTCACTGCCCCAGAGGCCTCCCTCACATGAGGCCACCCCTCGGAATTATGCACTGTGCTGTAGAGCCCAGCCCCACATCTTACCGCACGCTCACCCTTGCCTGGGTAACTCAGACCTTGAAAGCCCAGTTCAGTCTTCAGAGAAGTGAAGACAACAAACCTGATTCATACCTCACAGCCATGCGTCTCTGAGACAAAGTGGGCAGACAACAAGAAGTAGTGATTGGTCTACCGCTGGCCAGCCCTCTTTCTTTCCCTCTTTACTTCTTCCTCTCTTTTTTGTTGTTGTAATGGAATCTTGTAGAATGTCTCATCCTTTCCCAATTGCTAGACTCAAGATGTTCCACCTAATACTTTGGTCACAGGAAATTGCTCGCCATCTGGTGGGTGGATATCCAGCCTCCCTAGGCCTATCCAAGTCCAACACCCAGGCTTTTTGTCATGCTGTCCTCATCTCAGACTGTGACCAGTTTCTCAAAGGATCATGGTTTTAAAGTCAGTTATTATATATGACAAATGCCAATGATCAGCCTGTCAATGCCCCAGAGAACTGTTTTCCACCATGTCTATATTCCTGGGCCACCTTACCTCAAAATTATCAATTGCTTAGCTTTCAGTCTTATACAAGCATATCTCAAAATTTAGTCAATGATCAATCATTCGTTTAGCCGATAAATGTTTCTCAGGCATCTTTGGAGGCGGGTACCGCTCTGAGCTGTTTCTTCTTCAAGGAGTTCAGGGTCAGGCACCCAGCAAGACAAATGAGCAGTTTTTCTTTTGCAGAGCAATAAGGGCTGTGATGGAAGTAAAATCCAAATGCAGTGGGAACTCAGAGGCAGGTACTTCTGCTGTGCCAGGAGAGCCAAGAAAGGCTTCCCAGAGAACAGTGCTCTGAGAAAAAGTCTCTGAATCCAATTCTTGTAATGTTATTACTACGGAAAGTCAATGAAATGCTGATGAGTTTAAACTCTAAAATCAGCTTCCTGATTTCCGTCTGATTCTTCTGCCTCTGAGCTTCCCAACGCTCAGCAAGGGTCTTAACTTCTTCCACTCAAGAGTTTTCAGCTATAACCTGAGGGTAATAGAATTGACAGCATAGGGTTATCATGAGGCTTAATGAGACACAGCATATGAAGTACCAGAACTGAAGTAGACAGAATGTACCCACCATTAGTTCTTATGAAGCACAGTGAATGTTCAGTACATAATAGCTAGCATTTAGCTATTGGAGTAAAGTACTAGCTTAAAAGGTTTTTTAAAGCATAGGGGAAAACACCAGCTTTGATCCATGGTTTCAGAACAGCTGCGATCATTTTCGTAAAGTCTCATAATTTCTCATTTATGTGTTTTTAAATATAAAACAAGGCACATGCCATTTTTAATTTAATGTCATAAACATTTTATGCTACCACATAGTTTTTAATAGTTATATAATGGCCCATGAAATAGGCATGCCAAACGTAGTTGGCTCTTCCCTTTTCAGTGTTACTTAGGGCTTTCTAATTTTCCCATGATTTAGATTATTTCCATAGTACAATTCACAAATACCCAACAGCATCAAATTATAAGCTTGTGCTTTCCAACATAAGCATATTGCTAAATTGTTGTTGAATGTCCTTCCAGAAGTGCCCCCATATGCGCCGTTCTTCTCGAAAATCCTGAAAGAACTGGCCTTTTCCCCCCTAATATTTGGTATTGTTTGGGTTACTTTAGAACAAATCAGATTTTTCCACTTACTATCCGATCCAGTTTTTCTTTTATACCTCTTGTGCCTACTTCCTTTGCGTGTTAGTATCTAAGGCTGCCTCATGTTGTTTTTCTCACTGAGTGGACACCCTCTCCATCCATCCTTCCAGCTCTGCAGAAGAGCGCGGTAGTCCACATGGAAGAGTCCAGGGCCCTGGGTCCAGACCTGCTGCGCCTTGCTGAGTGATTGACCTTGAGCAGATAACTGACCCGTAAAGAACACTTATATTAGCATCTACTTGGACTGCTGGGAAAAGAGCTGTATGCTCATCGAGTGTATAGACAGTATTGCTGGATTTTTTTTTAAGAAAATGTGAATTTGGAGGTGGGCATGTGGGTAGAATACAGCCTAAGCCTCTTGCACATTTCCTCTCTCCAGGTAATGTCCACCATGTTCCTCCTCATTGTGGTCTTTGCTATTTTTGACTCCAGAAACTTGGGAGTCCCCAAAGGCCTGGAGCCCATTGTTGTTGGCCTGCTGATCATTGTCCTTTCTTCTTCCTTGGCACTGAACAGTGGCTGTGCCATGAACCCAGCCAGAGACCTAAGCCCCAGGCTTTTCACTGCTTTGGCAGGATGGGGATTTGATGTCTTCAGGTAAGTAACAGTGGTAAGGAGAGAAAGAAATGTATGCTGTGCCTCATTAGCAAGGGCTATGCTAGGAATTCCAAGGGAGGAAGAGGGGCATCCTGTAGTCTTTGGACATGCTTACATGGCCAGCAAAGGATATCTTGGGCCTGAGGACCATGATTCATGGCAGAATGCTTAAAATAATCTCATATAGATGGAAGAAGGTTACAAAGGGGAAACACCAGACCATAGAAAATGTGGACTCCCAAATTGAGAATTCTGGGTTTTTCTTCTCCCTGTTCTGTAGGTGATAGGGAGCAGCAAAGGATTTGGGGCAGACATTTGGCATACTTAGAAAGTCAGTTTAGCACAACGAACCTGGCATCACCATACAAGATGGGTTGAAAATGGATAGACGGGCAGATACCCAGGAAGAAAAAGTTTCAGCGGCTGCTACTCCTCAAACAAAAATTTCCCCAAAATTCTGAGGGACAACAGGCCTCTAAAGTGTTCCTAAGGTGTCCTCCCCTTCCGGGCTCTATCAAACGCGTAAGCACCTCAACTCTCCTAGCCTAAACCCAGCTCCAAGGTCTCAGCTACAACCCAGCTATGCATCCTCACCCCTCACCTGCCCTTGAGTAGCAAGAGTGGAGATGACAGGGCCAGTGGCAGCCAGAGGGTCAGACAGGAGAAGAGCCACCACGTGGGGCCAACCCCTGCTCTGCCCTTGGATATTAAAACATTTTCAATCAAAGTTCTTCCCAATATTGCTTGTTAGGCTGTTACTGGTTGAATAGGCGGAGGACCTCCGGAATTACATTAAATTTTATAAATAGTTTACTCAACGTAATGAAGTCCTAAAGATGGTCCCACAAACACATTCCTGGCAGCCCCCAAGCTATGGTGTGAAAATGACCACCATTATATATGCCTGTAAGACAGGGCCGAGCAAGTGACCACATCAGATGTTCTCCCTTTGTGACTTGGGCCCCAGTACAGTGCATGTAGTCATGTGCACTGGCGATATCTTAGCCCTTAGTCTGCTAAATGGCACAGAGAGCCTGTCCTAAAAGGAAATGATGCCACCAGAGTCATCTTCCAGCTCTCCAGGGCCAGTTGAGAGAAGCAGCCAGCCTCCCCGTGCCTCCTCAGAAGACTCACTTCAGGATTTGGGGTCACGGGGAGAGCAGGAGTGCAGCATCCGCTCTGCCATGCAGTAAGGGTGACATCTGGTGGCTGCTCTGCTCAATTGCAGGCTGGTTCATCAAGCCAGTAGGGGATTATGATTGCTCAGAGTTCTAGGGCTCCAGGAGAAAGGGATTCTGCAGATTAAGGACCCAGACCTCGGGGAGGGGGTCCTGGTCCAAAGACCTTTTCTGGAGGAAGTCTCCTGGAGTCTGGGACAGAGCTCTTGGCTTCTGCTGATTTCCTTTATCTTTTCTAATCAAATTTGATAATAAACAGCCACCGGACTGGCCTGTCATTGTCAAGCATGATGACGAAGGGCCATGAATCCTTCCAGAATCAAAGTTATCTCTGTTATTTCCACTTAAGATGTTAGAACCCAGCCAGAACACAGTGACATCCTCACAGATATCAGAGCGCTCCTCCTCTTCCTCGGCCCCTGCATGAGTCTGCGTTTTGGTGTTTATCATTTTCTCTGCTTTTTAAAAATAGTTCTACTGTGACTGTACATATCCTCAAACAATTTAAGACCTTCTGACTGGTCTTTTCTGTGGAGTTATTTGAGTAGATTTCTTCTCTTCAAAAAAAAAATATGGTGATAATTCATAAGGCCACCTGCTTCTCAACGTACCTTTACTAGAACATACTGACCTTGAAGATTTCTGGAGAGAAGTTTAGATCATGGCACGAAGGCCTTATCAAAACATATCTTTGAGCTATGATCTCAAAAAATAAACATTGGTTTAAGTGATATTCAGTATTTCAAATATTTAGTTTTTAATACATTCATTCATTATTTATTTTGATTTCCCTCCAATCAAAAATGCCTAGAGATCTCTTCACAGTGAAGTATCTTCTTTCCATTCAGAAACACCAAGCTTAATTATTTCAGGATCAGAGAAAGGAAATTCCTGAATGGTTGGCCTGAAGGCCTCAATCTTGACTATGGGCTCAGGCACTATATTTTGTAAAATGAAAATAAATTGTACATAATCTCTCATAAACATTAATAGGGCAATGGAGTTGTTACCTAAGTCAGGAATACTGGAAAATCTAGGGTCATGACTGCCATGCCACTGTGGATATCTTTCTATTTAGCTTTTCTGAGTTAAAAGGGCACTGTGTACATACAAAGACTAGCTGGATCAGTGAATACCAAGGCAGAAATCCCAGCAGGAAAGCCAAGATGTGCGTCACTAATGCCTTGTTTGGTTTCAGGGCTGGAAATCACTTCTGGTGGATTCCTGTGGTGGGCCCCTTGGTCGGTGCTGCCATTGGAGGTCTTGTCTATATGCTGCTCATTGAAATCCACCACCCGGACCTCGACCGCAACTTCAAGGCAGAGCAGTCAGGGGACAAACAAGAAAAATATGAACTTAGTGTTATAATGTAGTGATGTGCTCAGCTCTGAACTTGCAGTTGGTTTGGAATTCATTTTGGAAGAGATGGCACCTGTGTGTCTGCATTTTTGTACAACTAGGATGGATGTACAACTAGGATGTACCCAATTTTCTCTGCTAGGTCTGTGGTACATACAGCTGTGAAGGTACCTGAGTGAGGGTTTGGAAAAATGGACCCGTTCTGTATGAGTCACCCCCTCCTCCGAATAGCACTGAGGACCCCCTGAACAGCCTTCTTTCCTGTCCCGATGATGGCATCCTTGATGGGAGTCTTTAACTGGATTGTCTAGCGGCATAACTCACATGAAATAATTCACCAAAAGCCTCTTCTTCGATATCTACAAATATTACATTCTGAGTGTCATCTAAAACCTAATCTGAAAGACAAAACAGTTGTTTCAGTTGACATCCACGAACTAGGGTGCTAAAGGGTTAACTCACTAGTTATATTGTGCTGCTGCTGCTGCTGGCTTTGCATAAATACTAATACTCTCCAAACCTATGGATGTAGCAAGCGGGAGACTACAATAAAAAGCACAGGGGAAGGACACTGTGGCATTTAGAAACCTCAGGAGACAAGATAGATTTGGGAAACCAAATGGAATTTTTTAATGGAAACCATTTATCAGATTAATCTCTTGCTCTTCTGCATTTTAGAGGGCGCCAATTAATTTCCTGGTCTTTAGTATATAATAACCTAAAATACAATTGTAACCTCCATCATGAAAAATACATCATTCTGTCTGTTTCGCTAAAATGTATTTTCCTAATTGCCCACTTGAGGACAGACGTTTGACAAGTGAAGGCAATGGCTGCGTCATCCATTATTTTACACACACCCCAGAAGCCTGAAAACCATCGGAGCCCCGTCTGGCAGATTGTCTAAGGTAGGAAGTTCCTGGAAGGCTACTCATCCCTCACTGGGTTTTACATCTCACAAGACACCTTGGTACATATCATCTAATTTAATCCTAATAATGACTGTTCGAGATAAATTCCACGATGCCCATTTTCCAGGTAAGGAAACAAAATCTCAGGGATATTAAGCAAGTTGTCCGAGATTTCTTGGGAAGTTGAACATTGTCTAATGTCACCCTCCACCTTTCAGAAGACCACTAACAGGCAGCGAATCCCTGCCAGCCCATCCTGGTTGGCCAGGAGAAATGGGATTCACAGCTTCCAGGAGCTGTGCACCCTGTGGACATAATGCTCCTTGATGTTATGATGTAAGAACTTAATATCCTGCTTTGTCTTGCTTTATTCCCTCTTTACTGACACACAAGTGAAAGAAAGAGGTGGCAGCTTGATGATAACTTTAATCTGCTGAAAAACATTCCCAGAAGACCTGCCAAAGCCACTCTTGGTCTTGCTGAGTCTTGATCTTCCTTCCTGGCCAACTCCAAACATGGCACTCAGGAAATTTACTCTTCCTTGGCCTCTTCCCCATGAAGCGCTCTCATTCATGTTCATTCCAACCAGAGCATCTCTGTGAGCCGCAGTCACCCTGAGAATTGCTCTGCAGCAAGAGACACATCTTCAGCCAGACTGTTAAAAGCCAGGCATTCCTAAGAGGCGTTCGATTCCCCACCCAGCTTGTGAGAATAACAGGAAAACAAGAAGCAAATGGGAAATGTCTGTGACAGTGTATGTTCTATAACCAGTGGAGAAACACATATTTGTTCTTGCTCTGAAGTCGCCCGAATTTCCTTAGTTGAAATAAAATTGCTGGATTGTTGTTTTTTTAATGGGGTTTCTCTCTTTTTCATTTGTATAAGTACTAAGACAGCTAAACACATTTATCTCAGAGGTTCTATACCCCATCTTCAAACTGAATGTCCTGGGAAGTGTCTTGAAAACATGAATTCCCCATTGGCCCATGGGAGCTGAGCAAGAGATGAGAATATTGGCTTTGTTAAACTGCATGGTCCCAACACTCGGAAGGCTGAGGCAGGAGGATCGCTCTGAGTTCGAGACCAGCCTGGGCTACATAGTGAGTTCCAGATCAGTCTCAACTACAAAGTGAGACCCTGTCTCAAAAAAACAACAAAACAAACGAGCAAAAAAATGAGTCTAAGATTTCCTTGAAGAGAATGTCGACCATGTACTCACTCACTGGTAATATTCTCAGAGGCTGGGGAGCCCCGTGGATTGGAGCAGTGGTTCTCAACAGGGAAGAGTTTGCTGCTTCCTCCCACTTCTCCTCGAGAGAACACGTGACAATGTTTTGGAGACAACAGCGGAGAAGAGGAGTGGTAACATATCCAGTGGCTGCAGACTAGGGGCGCGACCAAGCATTTCACAGTAGAAGAATAACCCCTCACAACACAGAACTATCTGACCCAAAAGTGGCCCAATAGTGCTGAGGTTCAGAGACTCCGGAGCTGTGCGAAGGTGAGAGAAGTAAGAGGAGACACAGAAATTCTGAGTAGCATTCAAGTTCTGCCAGGAACAAAGATGCTGAACAAGGCAGGCACAGGCTCTCGGGGTGGACTATAACTCTTACAGCAAGGCATAACCCCAAAGTTGAGCTTTCAGGATGGGTTGAAGAACATATGATCCATGCAGGTGCTCATTCAGCCCTGATGACTGATGACCAGGCTTATAAAAATGAAATGTACTGTATCAGAAATATACCCCCAGGATGGCTTTTTTTAGGTGGAAAAAAAGACGCCTTGTTCCAGGTGTTCACATTCAAGTGCTCTCCCATCCCCCAGTTTACAAGTTCATTTGCTTTTATTGGGTTCTTCACCAAGCAAATGTTTATGAGGTTGAATTGTCTGTATAAGAAGTCAGATAGAGCTAACATCCTATTTTTTAAATAGCTTCTTTATAAGTTGAAATTGTAGTGCTTCCTTTCCTTATCTTTGTCAAGTGAAAAATTTCACAGAAGTATTTATCTTAACATCAGAAATAGAATTTCTCTACGATTTCCTAACCACTTGAGTTCTCAGAGCATATGTTAGAGTATAGACTTTTCCAATTGGCAAATCCAGTAGTCAATATTCAGCTTTTAGATAAGGTAAGTAGAGTCTAAAATGTCATACTTAGAATTCCAATCCTTAAGATATAAATTACGTTTTCCATTAAGTTGGTTACACACACACACACACACACACACACACACACACACACAATCTTATTGTAAGATACATCAGTGCAATATCATTATGGGAAAAGAATTAAAACTTCCCATAATAAATAACGGTTTATAAATTTTATTTAGCCATAGAATCTATTCAAATAAAATCTTGTGTGGCATCCATAAGTGAACTGGGGCTGCACATTAAAAGAAAGGGGAGGATCGGGGCTTTATCCTGCTTGTGACATCATCTCCCAGTGTGGCACCCCAGGTGCCTCTGAAGAGGAATTCTGTGAGTGTGTGCACGTGTGTGTGTGTGTGTGTGTGTGTGTTGGGGTTGGCGTGGAGTCTTCACAACACAGTGTCATTCTTTGAAAACCATTGATAAAGACTTGGAGTAAGTTGTTGAGGAACATTTTAATACAAGTTGCAAGGATGGAATCTACCAGCTTTTCAATCTTGTGATAAACAACTGAAAGAAGAAAGGTCTACTTTGGCTCGTGGCTTCAGTCCATAGAGGTACAGTGGCTCATGACAGAAGCGTGACGATACAGCTGGTCATCTCGTGCAGCCAGAGAGCAAAAAGAGAAAAGGAGCAGTAGGGGTCCTAATATCATTTTCAAGGGCATGCCCCCAACTGATCTAACTTCCTTCGACTATGCCGTGCCTACTAATGGTTCCAACACTTCCTAAGAGCACCACACACCAAGCCTTCTGCTTAAAGCCCTTTAGGGAACAATGTAGATTCAAACTACAGCAGTCATGTTAGTTTAATGTCAGAGAGTTTTCCAAAGATTATTTTTTAGTAAATGAATTATTGTGAGAAGAATTACTCAGCCCATCAAATGTCACCCACAAAGAGATGCTGTATATCAGTTTTCAGACTGAGAATTGAAATTATCTGACATAGCACATTTACTAATCACAGCCCATGGAGAAAAGTAATGGCAGTCCTGGCAGGGTCACTGTATGGATTCTCTAAGTTTGCACGAAAATAAGAAAACAGATGATGATGGAGGTGGTGTTGATGATGATAGCTAGATAACCAGCCAGGCCCCAATCTCTTTAGTGCTGCTAAAAATAAGAATCCGAGAGAAAGTGTCTCTTGATTAACAGAAAGAGAGCCCCATATAACTAAACATAAATAAGTAAACTGAATTAGTGGAGAAAATCCATGGAACCTAAGCACATGCCTCCTAAGCACAGCTGACTGTCTCCCCTCCTAGCTACGTTTTGTTGTCCCTGGGCTTTAGGGCCTTTTGCTTCATCCACAAAAAAAGTAATTAGTCAATTAAGATAAAGCTTTGTGACTGTACTACAGACACCGTGGACTATATTCTTTTTTCTCTTTTCTCCTCCATATGATTTTAGGGAAGATTGACACACTTTTGTGTGCTCCAAAAAGTACTGTGGGCCCTGGGCACTGCCTTCCACTCTTCTCTTCTGTGCCCCCGGAGTGTCCTAGAGCCCAGTGACACCTCAGCCACGTCCTTTTCACAGCATCCAACTCCCTGCTGTGGAGTCTCAGGAAACAGTACAGAGCCTGGAGAGTTCGGGAGCTTGAGAATACCGCAGAGCCACAGAGAGTTTCCATGGCCTGGGTCTCCCTTCTCTTCCTCCTCCTTCTCTTCCCTTTCCTCCTCCAGCACTCAGAAAGCAGGAGGCCACAGGAGGCACCAGGGCCTGAACTCACTGAGTCTCAGAGTATATTGTTCCACAGTTTACAAAGCACATTCAGGTCCATTTCCTCACAAGACCAGCCCAGAAAGCACTTATCGCCATTTAGAGAAGAGAAACTGAGGCTGTGAGGTCCTGAAAGAGTTGCACCAACTTGAGAGTGAAGAGTGGGAGTAGCAGGATATAGGCCACAGGTCTGAGAAATCTTGAAAGCTCTTGGAAGGAAAAAAGAAAGAAAAGAAAGCTTAGTGTTACCAGCTCGAACTCAGATTATTTTATGTAACTTGAGATAGAAATCACAAAACAAATGCAGTACATTTGAAGGAGGGTTTTTGGTGCTTATGCCCAAGCACAAGGGAAACCATACTTGGGTCAGGGTTCCTAGTCTGCTCCCCAAGGATGCAAGGGATAAAGCTCACACAGGAAAAAAACTGGGCTCACATGGGCACCCAGTCAGCTGTTGCACATGATCCCAGAATTTCTGCACACATCTCATTAGTTCTTTGCCCTTGACACCAGCGTTTGCGCTTGACAAGGCCAGCTCCTCATTCGCATTGGGTCCCTCTGTGCAAAAGAACCTAGGACTGAGCTGGAGAAATGGTGGAGGTGCATTGTGAGCACCACCAGGTAGGCGATGCATCAGTCAAAGCTGGTGTTCAGTGCGTGTGGGGTTGCTAGAAAGCCTGAGGAAGAGTCGGCAGCCTCTGAGCCTGATCATTGCTGGAAGCGTCTTCTGAAATAGCTCATGCCATAGAAGAGAATCTTGGTGGGAAATTGGGGCTCTTTCTATGCTGTCTCACTCCTGGTTTTCTCAGAACGTAGGGGGTTTCTGGGATGTGGGACTCGGTGCTAAAACCTGGCCGCGCTGGCCACCCTGCTTCCTGAGTTAAGACCCAGACCCATCCCACCACTGGGCCTCCTACCGAACCTTTGGACACATGGTCCTCGGGCAGATACAATGTGCCTTGATTCACCTACCGGAAAGATGGAGTGTCTTCATTTAAATTTCAGCATAAATGGGAATGTTTTTTGTGATACAGTAGTTAAGAAGGTAAGCTACTAATGAGCATTCTGTCAGCTCCATCTTCCAAGTATGTTCTGAGCCTGACCTCTTCAGAGGCTCAGGCCTGGCCTAAACCATTGATATTTCCCCCAAGGTCTTAGAAGAGGCTCTCAACAGGTCTGCTGCTTCCTGCATAAATTCCCATGGGCTGTGATCAACAGAGCTGCCTGTATGATGTTTGGATAAATTTCCAAGTGACTTTCAAAGCCCCACATACTCTGACTCCCACTGTCCCTCTTGTCTGTCCTCCCAGGCCCAGCCACAAAGGGCTCTTTGCCGATCCTCAGACCCACTGAGCAATCTCCTGCCCCATGGCCTCTGCCTTGCTGCTTCTACCACTTAAAATTCCCCACATGTTCTCTGGTCATATGTCACATGTTAGACAAGCCTTCCCAGCAGCACCTCACTCTTACTTCCTTTCCAGCACTTATTTCTCTCCCTAACATACAAATATTACCTATCA